ACAAGGAGCTGTTACTGCAACAGGCGTCATCCCTGTGTCTGCTTTAGCATCGTGCGTCGTTCCCGTCAGTGGCGTAGCAAAGAGATACTGGGGTGAGGACGGCACCGGGTGACACCATCCCAGGGGGGTGACACCAAATGGAAAAAAAATAATAATTGCATATTTAAAGAGCACAAACTGATCGGGTTTAACTAAAGTGAAACCTATCACATATAAAATGTTCACTCATATAACCAGTCCAAATGGGTGCTCTATTTAGAATTCAAGGATGATCCGTTAGAAATGAGGTCACCCTATAATTAGGCCAGAACAAAAAAAAAAAAAACGAGTTTGTATCTTGATGTCACGCCGATTGAAGTGCTTGATGTGTTTCGTAAATTATAGGAAGCTATATATATATCTAATTTCTGAGAAATAATGATTTCCATTGATATCAAATACGATTTAGTCAGGCGGTTCTAAGTTCATAAGTAGAATCGATAAAAAATTTTAAAAATTTAAAAATGACGTGTTACTCATGTTTGGGTTTACAAAATAATATTTTGCACACTTTTGTATATCTTTAATAATTAATTTTATAGAAATATATATTTTTAAAAAATTTCTATTAAATTTTTTTTTTTTACAACCACATTTATCAATACACTAGAAATATTGATTTTTAACAATTCTTTTCGTTGATCCGTCACTCGAACTGGCCCTTAACATTGGAGGACGATTGTCATACAGCACACATTTCTTGTACATGCTGTCTGCAATTTCACGTTTATTTGCTACCTTTACTCTTGGCATAAGCTACTTGGGGAAGATAATCTTACACTGCAGACTAAAGGCTTTACTCTGGAAAAAGTGGCGACCGACCTAGAGGCCTTAAGATTGTTTCTGCAGGAGAAGCACTGTCACTTGGTGGAACGTGCTATTGAAAGTTAACTTTTAGCATCAGACCGATATGGAATTTTAGTAGGGAAATGATGAATGTTTAAGAAAGGAGGCACTGGAGTGTATTGCATGCTTTCATTCTACACCCCAGAGCAGGTTATCAGCGATCAATAAAGTAGCAGATATGTTTGGGGCTGTTCAACCCAAGCGTCTACTATCAGCAAGGGAAGAAGAGTTATTGATGTCCGTTCCAAAACTAACTTATTTCTATGATGAGTTATCAGAAGATAAACTTTTAAAAGAACTACCAAGGCTTAGAAGACACCGAAAGGCAGCTGATATTGAATTCCACAAAGTCATGGACTGTGTCAAATATTCTCTTGCATGCCAGAATATTCTCGTTGTCTAGGATCTACTGATGCCTGTCAATTATTCGACTGGCCTATTATTCCACTTTACAACAACGGTCTTTCTCTCTCTCTCTCTCTCTCTCTCTCTGATAAATAACACAATGTCCAATATAAACTACATCACTTTATTATAGAAGTAATATACTCACATGTTTCCTTTGACATTAGGATAATGTGTACAAGTATGATTGCGATACAGAGAATTAGATATCCATAGGCTTGCAATAAAATATCAGATACAAAAATCAGTCAATCCATTTGAGAGCAATCAAACACGACCTCTCAACTCCAAGTTATTTATCACACTGCTACCTTAGTTCAACCTCACGTCCGTGAACCTAATACAGCCACCGCTCAAAAAGTTGCCTCCCTCCCCCTTTTATCACCCCAAAACCCAATGCACTCTTGACATGAGAACCGTTGACACTCACTCACAAGCCCCATTTGTCCCCAAAAATCAAAACACACACACACACCCATTCTCACTGATTTCATGACGTTGACTGACTGCTTTGAAATTCATAGCTGAATGGGACTTCCTAAAATGTCTTCCAGTACTCTCGCTAAGCCGTCAATTGTTTCCTACGATCTGAGTGTTTGTAATTTTATGTGAGCGGAGCTTTTCAAAACTAAGTCTTATCAAGAACTAATTAAGATCCACTATGGAACTGTCAAGGATTTCTGATCATTTGAAAGTGATACAGTGAAGGGTATTGATTTTGATCAAGTGTTTGACAGGTTTGCAGCTTTGAAGTCCAGGAAAGGAAAATGTTAAAATAACTATTACTCCTGACCTTCAGTTAATTTGCCTTTATTCTTGTCATAGTTATTCTGTAAAATTATTTTACAAGAAGAAATCAGTCGTTTAATATGGGAGAGTGGGGTGTACCATGATTTTACCGCACCACGTGACACCAAGCCTAGCTACGCCACTGGTCCCTGTGTCTGCTCCAGCAACATGCGTCGTCCTTGTGTCTGCTCCAGCAACATGCGTCGTCTCTGTGTGTGTGTGTGAGATCCACCCCGTCACTTGGCATCTAGCCCCGCCTGGTGGCCAAATCTATTGCGTAGAGTAAATTCTACGTTAAAAGAAACCATTCAAATTTTAATAACATTAAGATTTGAAAATTCGCAAATTTTATATTTAATTCTCTCCCTCTCCCCCATCTCTCTCGTTCTCTCCCTGTCGTTAAATTTCGTATCAATCCGTAAAGACATGACGTAAAGAACACACATTTTCTAAGATCCTCCTCCCCCCCCCCTTTCTAAAAATAAAATAAATAAATAAAATAAAAATAAAAACAAAAACAAAGACAATAACAAAACGGGACCTCGGGTTTTTGTGAGTTTCTCGTACGAGCGTGCCACCTGTAGGTCCATAATCAGAAGAGTTTCACCACTGATAAGAATTCCCCACAATAAAAGGTTACAACACAGGCCCCAAGGCACGATTCGTGGCAGGGCATTTCCATTAACCAAAACAAAACAAAGTCGTACCATGCTATGCGGTTTATTTTTTTTGTGTGGTGTGTTTTATTTATGCGTGTGTGGCCTCGTAGGTTTAGATCTAGCTTAAAACTAATATGTCCGTAAAATGTTGCATATCCGTGACAAGACTTAACAGAAAGGGGCGTAACATTTTTTTTTTTCTTTTTGAGTAAGTAGCCCCTGTGGGGCAGGCCGGGGAGAGAAGGGTGTGGGGAGGGGTGCGAGTCGTTCTATGTTTTGATCAGTTACAATGAAATGACCGTTTTCTAAATAGAGTAACTGTGTAAAGCATTGCTCGTTGAAGTCTTGTAAAGCATTGCTCGTTGAAGTCTTGTAAAGCATTGCTCGTTGAAGTCTTGTAAAGCATTGCTCGTTGAAGTCTTGTCCTGTCAATGTATTAATTGTTTATTTTGTTGAAATAGAGTAACTGTGTAAAGCATTGCTCGTTGAAGTCTTGTCCTGTCAATGTATTAATTGTTTATTTTGTTGAAATAGAGTAACTGTGTAAAGCATTGCTCGTTGAAGTCTTGTCCTGTCAATGTATTAATTGTTTATTTTGTTG